TTATTGTTATTTCATTTGCCACAACCCTCAATTTTGCTCATATTCCAGTAAAGCATCATGAGACCTGCTATTCCTTTTTCAGGTTCTTTAATTATTCTTAAACATTTGAATGAAACCTGGTGGTCCTAAGACCTAGTATTTTCCCTCACTCGGGTCTTGGGTAAAAGACCATCTGAATTTTTATGTCTCAACTGTGGGTAAATGGCTGTTCACTGTTTTGTACTGCATAACTGTCCCTGAATGTACTGCACTTTCTCATTTATTTGGTATATATTCCTGCATTACATACAGCTTGGACATTTTCTGATCAAATTTACGGAGCAATTCTGGAGGACACTTTGACATTTTTTTTTTGCAACAATAATAACTAGAGTGTCATGGTGTCAAGTTTACTTAAAGGCAGGGTATGTGATTTTTCAAAAACACTTTAGAAAACTGATTCGGGCCGAATAGCAAAACAAACTTGTAGCCAATCAGCAATAAGGGGCGTGTCTACTCGTGATGTGGAGGAGAGAGCTTTCAGTGCATGGGACGGACATTAGCCGAGCCGAGCGACAGAAAGATAGAGATGGCGGATAAAAAAACAAAAGAGGAAAACGTCTGCGGAACGATAAGGCAAGAAGTAGGACCCATGTAAATATCGGATCAGCTTTCCAGCGCTGGAGAGAACTCAAGGAGCGGAGGCCTGCGATCGGACGCCGAGGTTGCTATGTTTCTTCTCAGTAGGTGAGTAACACCGTGTCTACAACAGCTAAAGTCTATCAACATTGGCTACCAGAAATCACTTACTCTGCCTTTAATTTTCATTACTATAGAGACACCAAGTAAATGTGGTTGAGATGTAGACTGCAGCCTCAAGAAAGCGTCCTAAATTTAACCTATCAATGAAGGTGTGTGTCATGCCAGAAACATAATTATAAAACTTACAAAACATTACTTCCTTATCATACAGTCAGGTACCTTGGAAAACTCTAATTTTCTAAAGTGTTTTACGTTCCTTCTGAATGTTTGCTAAAAGTATTATATAAAACAAGACTTTTTAACAGACAAATACTATGGATTTCATTTCATTCTCCTACAAATATTTCAATATTTTAAATAGACACACTGAAAGCAATTAAAATCCAACCTGTCAAATAGATGTCTATTGACAGAAAATGCCTGTAAAAGAACTTTGAAATTATATAAATATATATATATAAAATTTTATTTTTCCATTAATTTCACTTTTTTTTCACAAACAATTTACAGTATGTTGGGAATGACATGTCTTTGGATTTAGTCACTTTATCTATTAATTTGTGAAACCACATGCACATGAAATAAAATCTGGGGGGAAAAACTTTTTGTGTCTTTAAATCATTTTTACATGCTAAAATGCAAATAAAAAGTATTTGTTTGGTGAGATATTTAACCTTAAAGCACACCTTAAGAACCCCTTTAAATAAAACTTACTAAAACATGTTTAAATGATTAGTTTTTATTTATTTATTTTAAACAAGAATAAAATCATTACTTGCGCACCAAATAGCATGCTAAAGGTGTTTCTCAAAACAATGGTAAGTATTATTAGCAAACTCTCAAAAAGGATCCAAGTAGTGCATTATTGGTAGAAAACTTTGGCTAGCATTCTAACATACTACACCTACTATTTCTGCAGTAAATAGTACAGTATTCACATTTTCTGTGTGCGTGAAACATACAGTACTACCGTTTAAAGCTTTTGTTGAATAACGTCCACTGTTTCACTTACTATGCAATAAAAGGTATATACTGCACAGTGTTCAGTGAGTAGAAGCTAGTTTTCCAAAGGAGCGTTAGCCTTTTCATCTAAAAATTAGCTTTAATATCAACACTTTTGCTACTCTTGTCCGCAAGAGGGAAGAATTTCTTAGCTGCTCTTGGAAATCAACACATATATACATCAGATGTGTTGCTTCAGTGCCATTTACAAATCCTCTCCCATGGCCTCATGGGATAGTAAAATTTCAATCGGATGTGCAATTCATTCGTTTTATGAATACTGTGAATTCAGACATTCTATTCTTTAACATACTATGTTTAGCCTATATAGTAGGGAAGTTTGCATATTCGGATGCAGCTTTGCTTAATCTCAGTGGAAAAATAAACCCAAAATGGCAGACGAGGTAATCCTATATTTCATTCAATACTGGAAATAGCTTAGCTAAATTAAAAATTTATTATTTTATCCAATATTTGTGTGTACAATATAATGTTCTAAACCTGTAAGACCTTCGTTCATCTTCGGAACACAAAGTTAAGATATTTTGGTAACACTTTCTATGAAGCCCGTATTTATAATACATTATAAGGGTATTCTTAAGGAATTATAATGAATGCATAATGCATTATAAAAAAACTTATAATATGTTATATCAACTCATGAATAATCATAACAACAGTTATAATACATCATAATACTTACGTATTTGTGGTTATACGTTTAAGAGTATGATTATTTATAACACACAATGAACACCATATCAAATCTACTTCATTTACAGAATAATGGACTGTATCATATCTTGACATTGCTTATTTAAGATCTGCACAGTATCTTACTACAGCTTGTGAGTGGTTAGATGTTGAGTGTTATTTGAGTGTTTCCTGTGGAGCTAATGTTAATTAATTGATGTGAGCTGAATACTCCAACTGAAAAAAATGCAATGTTTTATATGGTTACATTTTATTTTGATGGCCCCCTTAATCAATCGACTATAAGCAACTTTGCAACTACATGCCAACTAACTCTCATTAGAGTATTAGTATGCTCAAGAATGATAGAATCTAGTATGGTAGAATAAGTTGACGCATGACAATCACATTCGATTAATCGTGCAGCCCTAATAACGACTTTATTCAACAATTTCATCTCTTCCGTGTTAGTCTTCGATGCGCGTTCACAAGAGTACCACAACGCATTCGTGTGGTGCTGCTGATGCAAGAGCCGGCGTTCTGACGTAGAACCAGCATGCGCTGCACCTTGTTTACAAGCAGAGGAATGCACACGCATGCGTCATGGTACTCTCATGAACACGCATCAAAGACTGGCACGGAAGAAAATAAGTTGTTGAATAAAGTCGTTATTTTTGTTTTCTTTGCACACAAAAAGTATTGTCGTAGCTTCATAAAATTAAGGTTGAACCACTGATGTCACATGGACTTTTTTATCAATGTCCTTACTACCTTTCCGGGCCTTGAACGTGGTAGTTGAGTTGCTGTCTATGCAGGGTCAGAAAGCTCTCAGATTTCATCAAAAATATTTTAATTTGTGTTCCGAAGATGAACAAAGGTCTTACAGGTTTGGAACGACATGAGGGGGAGTAATTAATTACCAAATTCTCATTTTTGGGTGAACTATCCCTTTAAGTGAGGAGCACTTTTAGAACAATGACAAAGTTGCTGCCTATGTAGAGCATTTCAAAACAGTTCCTTATGAGGTTACATGTTAGTTAGGATGCTGCCTTAGAAACCCGCAGCTGGTTTTAGAACAGCTATAATGTTTACATGCATAAAATGTCAGATGCTTAAAAGTGGAATTGACCTACTTTGTGGTTTTTGTACAAACTGATCAGCGCATTTATAACCATATTTGTCCCTAATTTGTTTTCTTTGAGTAGAATGCATGCAAAAGATCACAGTCAGAATCATTTGTAAGTATTAAGAGTATGTGTATCTGGCTATCTCTCCAAGCTTTGTTGTTTGGTCTGATGGCTACATCTACGAAGGTCGAGGCTGGATGTCAGTAGGGGCTCATACTAAAGGACGTAATACTGTTGGGTATGGTGTTGCTTTCATTGGGAGCTACACTGCTCATTTACCCTCCCAATATGACATGGAGCTAGTGCACCATCATCTGGTCAAATGTGGAGTGAGCAACGGATTTCTGCAGAAGAATTTTACCATTCTGGGACACAGACTAGTAGTAGCAACCAGAACTGTCCAGGGGATTCACTGTATTCTGAGATAACAACCTGGGAACACTACAAAGCATGTAGGATGCTATACTCAGAAATTTAGAAGTTTAATGCTGGAAATACTTGTCATCCTAACTGACACATCAATCTGTGTCTGTACCATGTTATTCACAGGATACGGATCCTTTTAAGTAACAACGAGGACATCTGCTGACACTGACATGACAGTGCAAGACAGCTTTAACAACCACAACAATGAAACCCACTAATTAGTATGATAAATACACTTCATTTTAAATGTACATTTAATTTGAAATATATTTTAAAAGTTAAAAGGTTGGCACTTGTAATGTAAGGGTGTAATGTACAAATGTGAGGTTATCAGCATAAAACAGGACATTAGCATTACTTTGTACATTGGTTGGGAGTCTGTATGAAACCATGAAATGTTACTGTACTTTATGTAAGTGAGAATTACGTGTGCCAAAATAAACAAGGTGATCTCAAATCTTATATGTTGAATTTTGTATGTGACAGTTTAAATTGAAGGAAGGGTTGACAAGATTACTTTAGTCTTTACCACAACAGGAAGCGGTTTTCATAGCAGGCCCCAGAGTGAGACAGGAAGAGCTGCTGTTGTGACAGGAAATGTAACCGTCACTGAACAAAACAAGAAGGTATTTAGGTTAAACTGTCAACTCTGTTTATGTTTAATTAACAAAATCGAATCTTGATCATGTTACGCTACGATATTCATAAGTATTTTACCAGCCACAACCATACCAATTCAGTTCAAACTCAAATAGAATGTACACAAATGAGAACAAAACATGATCAAATGAAAGATTATGCTCTCTAGATGTTCCATAAATAAAACGAACATAGCACTCTAATTTTGCACTAGTTGGGTCAGTCTGGGAAATATCCTCATCTCTCAGTCTTCCTTCAACCTGTAAACCTAACCTGATTTCCCCACCCACAAACTGACTGGCTTCCTGAATACTGGACGACAAGTACGCACCGAAAAAAAGCCTCATACCTACAAGAGCTGAGGACCACAAAGGTTGCATCAATTCAAACAAGCCAATAGGTGAAGAGAGCAGATGATGAGATCCGAAGCACTCGAAATTGAAGATACAAGACGTTTAAAGACCTCTAGAACTGGTAAGTGCAGAGGAAACCCTACTCATTGAGCTACTACAAGAAAATACAGACTTTGCATTCTATAAAAAAAAGCATCCAACACCCAGAAATTTGGGTCACGGAGAAGGAATCAAATGGGTACAAACAAAGATCCAAGTGCTGAGCAATCAGCACCACAGACTGAGGAAGACATGGAACTGTCTCCTGAGCAGAACAGTCCAGTTGATCAAGACCCACGACAACCAGAGGATGGCAAGCTACTCAACACGTACAAGTGGCTCACGGGGGCCAAGAATGAGACAGTGACACAGGGGACTATTGAAAGGCTAGAGAAAGGGTCTTCAAACAAATGGAATAAAATGCAGAGTTGGCGCAAAGCTCTGAGTGAAGACGCGGGGGAAAAGTGCTCGACTGCAACTCGAGGGAGTGAAAGCCCATCCAAACCAGACAAGCCGGCAACTTCAAGGAAAAACCCTTTCCGCAGAGCTCTTTCAGAGCCACCAGGGTCCCTCTTGTCTTCGGTCATGTCCTCCTCTTCTGCATCTGGGTCCTCCAGCGCACAGGCATCTGGGTCCACTGTCCAGGACACAACACAGAGGGGTAAAATAAGGAAGTACCTGCAAACGGTCTCACAGAAGTTCAAGAGACAGCGTCTACAGAGTACTGCCATTGCAGAGCATGGTAAGAGCTTTATTTTTAATGCTAAATGTTCTACAAAACATATAAGCTTGAATAAAGTTGAAACCATTATGAAGGTTTATTGTTCCTTAGAAAGACCTCTACTGTTGGATAGTGTAGACTTACTTTCTAAGTAAGATTGTACATGCAGATGCCACTAAATGGCGCTAAAGAATGAGAGCACAACAGGATGTCAGAGATGTAACAATAAACAAAGTATAGAATCTACAGACCTAAACATGTAATTGTATATTAATAGGACTGATAGGACTGCTATCATTACTTTAACTAATTAAGCCCTTATGATATTGAAATTGGATTCCAAATTCCTTGTAGCATGTTTTGTCTTTGCAGCTTATAGGCTTTTTAAATTAAAACATTGCATGTAAACTCTTTTACATTTTATGAGAAGACAAACACAAGTGTGATCCTGAGAATGTGGTCCAAGAGCCTGTTCGCCTCTCCTGGGCCCCTCCACAAGACGTTCCCATTTGGGACATTAGCAACTGCTTTCTTCAAGATGGACAGATCCTTATCCCACGTGAGGAGGAGGTAATGAACAACACACACATTCAACAATGCCAACAGATGAGACATTATACTTTAAATAGATTAAGGTATTGGATGTATGCCCTTAAACTGACTTTGAAGCATCAGTCCAGTTTGTTTGGAAATGCTATCTGATTTTAGGTTAAATAATGCTGCCATTATATCATTATCTTTTGAATTTATTTCAGCCTTTGATGAGGGTACAGAACCGGGCCAGCAGTTGTCTCTCCAGCCTGAGTCTCCAGAACATCAGTGGAAGTCATACTGGTCAGTATCACAGAGTTTGGGTTTACACAAAGACGCCAAACTTGAAAATGTCTAAATGTCATTGCATTATATACAACATCTGCAAACAAATGACATTAGAGCTTTGCTCAGAACTTTCTGATCCACTTTTATGTTTATCTAACTGGCCTCATAAGAACAAATGTGAACATTATCTTGTGAAGAGCATTGGGGGGATTGCAGTACACTTGAATGTAGTGACGGTCTAAAGCTCGCTGTGCCCTGACAGTTTAAAAGCTGGAGATGACTTCAAGAGATGAGAGAGATTATCTGTCTCTATCTAGCCAATGACTGCCTGACAAAAACTAAAGAGAAGCTAGATAACTTATTCACAGAGGAAATGGCTGGCATGGTTATGTGTGCGTGTGCTTGTAAAATTGCTTCCTTTGAGTGTCTGAAGATGATATCGTAACTGGGTGTTCCATACCAGAGGACGACTGAGACTGATGGGGTGTGCTGTCTAGTTCACTCAAAATAAGCATGCAGGACCCTTATATTAAAAATAATAATAAAGAAAACCATAAAAGGGCATTTATAAGTCTAATGTTCTGAAAGGAAAAAAAATGATTCTAAGCTACTCCAAAGCATGGGTTTCAGGCGTTGGATTGTATGTGGAGGGGCACTAGGTAAGCAAAATGATTTTAACTTTGCCTTCTTAAATGATTCAATCCGATCATTTTGCCAGAGGGTTTAATGCATGTGAAATTTAATCAGCATTAAAACAAATCTAAGGAGTTTATACTGATCTTAATTTTCAGTTAATTCAGTTGTTCAGCAAAGCACAAAGATATATTATGAGTAGTGCTTTCAAATACAATGTAGTTTATTGTAGGTTAATTTACTTACCAATTTCTGTGCTTCCATAAATACTTAATGGCATTTTGATCTGGTAATTTAGAAGATCATATAAGACATCTACCTTCTTAAGTTTGGAAATATGTACATTGTGATGGAACATAGGGAAGCATAAGTCAAGTTTTGTAAAACATAAAAACTCCTAAAAAGAAGGTTGTTGACTATACCATGATGGACATTGGGTGTTGAACACAGACTATATGTGGGAAATATGTTGAAAGGAGTTGAAGCCATACTATTTTTTTTTTTTTTTTATGTTTTGTGCTTTTAATACCAGGTCATGCATCACAATTGGCTTTGGCAGACTTTCAATAAATTCTAGCTTCATTTCTATTTCCAGCAGTTGCTGAAAGAATTCAATTTGTTGTGATTTTTCAGGTTGCACTTTTTCATTTTTTGCAAGTTAGTTAGCCTACTTCATATGCTTTGAAAATGTATGACAAAGTGCAAAGTGTCAGACTTTGTCAGACACAAAACGTTAATAGGCTGCCAAGGCTGCCAAACTCATTTTTACAGCTGCTGCTTTTGTAATCGTGATTTACTTAAGCACCCTTAAGTCTGACCAGTCTGACCATGTAAGTCCCAAAAATTGGGATCACATGCTTTGCATAATACTGCTTGTCTGGTCTCCAGCTTTCATAAAGGCACATGGATGAACAAGTAAAAGCTAATTTTTGACATAAAAAATTAAATAAGCCCCTAGATTTCAGTTCTGTTCTGTATTAACAGAATTCAACTGCAGTAACATAGTTAAATTTTCTGTTAAACTGGAAATTATTGATCTGATGCACATAGAAGGAAGGAAATGACTATGCTTCCTGCCATGGTTTCAGAATCTGCGATTGCATTGAGATTATTTCTTTCTGCAGTATTTTATCCCACCAGAACAAAATAAACAGGAAGACATACATGCATTTGATCATTTAAGCGTAAATGATCAATGATTGCATTATGGAACATTTTTCAAAAGAAAAGGGACAGGCCACCTTCAGTGCTCACTACAGACAAAAGAGGAATACTGTGGCATCAAAGTGATCATCTAATATAGAACGTGTTCTCTTTCTCTATTTAGAGCTAAACCCAGATCCTGTGGTCCCCCAGAGTGGTACCAAAATAAAAGGGCATGATGGTGGCGTCAGAGTTAGTATAAATTAATATTTCTAAGAAATCTGTACAATCTGAAACTGTTGCTGAACAAAATGCATGCATACATATATGTATTTTCCCATGACAATCCTTTTCTTTCATTCTCATGCTAGAATTTAATCAAGCGCCGCTTACAAGGTGATGATAAAAGGAAAAGCAGCACACAGCTCAATACTGTAGGACTAAGTGTTGCTGGAAGGTGGAGGATAATTTTTATAATATAGAAAAAGACTGATCTGACTCTGTAGTACCGATTAATGTCAACTGGATCAAACATATCATCTGATGGTTTTATATGATATGCCGTTTACCAGTCTTTCACACTTTCTATCAAGGTATGGTTCCAGAGAATCTTTATCCATTCCAGTCAGTGCGGCAAAAAGCCTGGATCTTAGTGAAGACCAGGCTACCGTCATCAGGCCAGTCCACAGCTCGATTCTAGGGGAGAAGTACTGTTTTCAGGTAAACATCGCTGTTGCATATTAAAGTACAAACTATGTTTCAATTTTCTGATCTTTATGTCAATCCATAATCCAAACCAATTACTTCTTTTCCGGGCATTTCATTGTGTAACTCATAAAAGGTCATCAACTCAGAGAATAACCACTGCTTTGGGTGCAGTTCAGCTGCAGAAAGAGACCGCTGGATTGAAGACTTGCGTCGTGCTGCTCATCCAAATAAGGTACAGAATATTCTTTAGCTTAAAGAGCCATCAAAATATGTCATTAATTTTGTACTTGTTATAAATAATGATAATGTTTTATACTGTCTACCTTCAGGACAACTGTGAGCGTACTGAGTACTCACTGAGTCTTTGGGTTAATGAAGCAAAAGACCTT